TAGGGTTGGGCCGATAGACGATGCCATCGTCCATCGCCGATGGCTGACCGACATCATGATGTTGAGCCGGCATCGTGACCCCCCACATACCTCCCGCATTCCGCTGCATCCCAATTCTGTGTGCGGAAAAGGAAATTAAGTGTACTACGGAACCCCTAAAGGGAGTAAATAGCCTACGAGATGGGAGGATAAAAAGTATATATATTTCAATACTTTCTCTCACAATTATATCGTTGGGTAATTGTGGGCATCAGGGGGCCGCTACTGATATGCAGGGCATTGAAACCGTTTTCGAATGCGCGCTCTCATTTTACTTTCACTTTCGAGATTCGTGATCACACGGACTCTATACTACGGAGCGGCAGTACCTACCACACATTTTACAAGATTAGATATTTGTCAGTGGTGCTCAGTATCTGCAAATCATTCACCATTGTCCTATGAGTCATCTGTCCTTACTTCGTGTATGTGGTAAGTGAACTTTCATGTACTGTAACAGTCTCCCGCTAGCAAGCAGCTAACCATGTCCCTTTAGTGGCTCCGTAGAACGCATTATTTGTTTTCCGTGCCTTTCTGCATACGGATTCACGCTTCGGGCACACCCCCTAACCCTGCCCCCCGATGTCATCGTCCATCACGATGTTTCACTGTAGACATTGTCCGATGCCAATTTGGAAGACATCGCCCAACCCTACTTCATACTCGTTGTTGTTGTACTATTTGCTACAATTTCAGGTTTGCTTACGATAGACCTTGGTCAAGGTCAGGGCTCGACGCTTACTTTTCTTTTTAGGAGCACTTGTGCTCCTAACTTAAAAAATTTAGGAGCACGTTCAAAATTTTAGGAGCACCTTCTAATCAATAATCCAAAATGTTATCAAAAAGTAGCCTTCCCATTACGAGGTAATATTTGACTCCTCTAACTTTATTAAAAGTATGTCATCTTTTGTCAAATTCTTAAATTATATTTTATAAGCTTAACAACAGAATAAGAGTAGAATAAGAAACAAGTTAAAAATCAAATGAAATCAGTATTAACAAAAATAATTTGTAGAGGTGGCACAGAAGAACACAAAAGTGTTGTTTGATGTACTTTCAGACATTTAATGAGGTTCAGAAGTGGAATGAGTGCAATTAAATCCATAAATCCATGATGATATTAATGTTTTAAATATAAAATTTTGAATATAGAAATATTAAATGATTTAAATAACTGAAAAGATAAAGCAGGTGGCGGCAAGTCACTGATTTTTATCACTGAATCATTCATTCAATTGATTCATTCGAACGGCTTATTCATTCAAGAGTGACTGTCTTTATGAATGGGTAATCATGAATCACTGACTCACTAGATTCGTTAAAAAAACCCCATTCATTCATAAACGAAACACCGCTGTGTTTGAATAGAGATGCGCAGTGGCTCTGCTGTGTCTTTGTTTTAAACTATTTTCAACGACGAAATAGATCCAACTGCATGTCGGCGCCTGTGATTAACCACTCACGTGTGACACGCTCAGTGAAGGATCATAAATATATTGCTAGGCGCCATTCATACAGAATGCGCTTTTGTGTTGATAAAGCTGCTATCAACCTACAACGTCGACAGTGGAATAGGAAAAAATGCAAGATGATGGGAGTAGGGCTGCACGATAAATTGAAATGGAATCGAGATCACGATTCGATAGACGCTGCGATTGTCATGCGTATCTTTCAGTGAAGCACGGTTCTGTGATCAGCAGTAAATCTCCATCCGAAGGCCAGAGGGCGATCTCACGCTGAAACTCCAAATACGCCTCACAGAAGAAACCCAGAAAATGCTGCAGCTGAATAAACAGAAGATTCAATTGCTTTCATTCATTCAACGTGACTAATAAACACACGACTACGATAATATATGGTTTATCTGAGTTCTTATTATTATAATTTTCATTAAAATATAGTATATTTATAATGCAATGCCTTTATCACTGCTTAAATACTGAAATATGTTGCGTGCCTTATTCTGTGTAAGAAGCCACATAATCTCACAGAAGGATTTATTTTCAAACACTCGACTGACGTTATGAAGTGAGTTTGGAGTAAAAATATGTTATTAAATGTGGTATTTTCACATGCTTTCAGATGGAGCAGCATGTACTTCACAGAGCCGTAGTTCACTGAGAAGCTATGCAAACAGCTGTCATTATCGCGAGCAATTTTTTTGCGTAACTTGTCAGTGAACTACGGCTCTGTGTAGTAAATTCTGCTCCATCTGAAAGCACGTGGTGATGATTTCCTGCTGATTACAGAACCGGCATTACTGTCAAAATGCGCATGACAATCGCATTCGATTAATCGTGCAGCCCTAGATGGGAGTGAACTTCTTTAACTTGAGCGCCGCGTTGTTACAATGCCGTTTCATGCATGAGATGCTACAAGAGACGCGAGCGCAACAGTCAAACACGTCCATGTTTACATAGAAAAAAACACAGGAAAAACCGTGCAATCGAATAAAAAAAACCTGTAACTACTACTGTATGCCTGATATTTCATGTTTGCATCATGGTGACGGGCTGAAAGCTGCAATTGTTTTTATAGAACATTTAAAGTTAATAATACTGGTTTTATACCTTCAGTCATTTTGAATTTGAATTACCTTGACTTTTGAGATTTTTTTTAAAGCATTTTCCTCATTATTTCTGAACATATATAAGACAAGTTTGTACAAGGTGTAGTTGTAGTTCATGTATCTTTTCTGCAAAGATATGCAGAAGTGATTTCATTTACATCATGTTGACAACAACATGTGTGGTGCACTTGGAATTGAATTTTCTTTAACTAGAGGGTTAATAAAGAAAAAGTTACTTGTAGTTACATTTGTAGTTAATCATGTTGTAGTTACATTTTTAAGTTGACTAGTTAAAAATCGTAAAAAAACGAGAATCGTTAAAAAAAATCGAGATTTTAATTTTTTGCCAAATTGCCCAGCCCTAGACTTTTTATGTCTTCAGATTGTAAGTTTAGTAAAAATGAACTTGATCCAGAGATATTGTAGGTTTCTACGGGTTTTTTTTTTTGCTTATATAATCATATCTTTTGCTCATTGTGCTGAAATCAAAGGTATGCCTTTTTGCAAAAGAAAATATTTTGAATGAAAATAATATATATATATTTTTTTATTGTTTTCTTTTTTTTGTCTTTAAACTGTAGCTCGTCTTAGGGGTGTCCACGATGGCCTGTTTACTGGTCAGATTGATGCAGTAGATACCAGTGCAGCAACGTATCGTGTGACCTTTGACAGAAATGGGCTCGGCACACACACTGTTCCTGACTACGAAGTGCTTGTAAGAAAATCACAAATGGCCATTATAATTTGAGTCGTTCTTTAAAACAGTAAAGTGTCATTTGATTCGAATGGCTAACACTCCCCACTGCTTTCTCTCCAGAGTAATGAACCTCATGAGACGATGCCCATATCTGCTTTCGCTCAGAAACAGAGGCCACCTCGTTTCCAGAACTTTCTGACCCCACCCCGCGGGTCCTATCCCGGCTCAACCCAGTCCATCTTAATGGTAAAATCAGACTGTCAAATGTGTTTTTTTAATGGGGTTGTTAACTGGTGTTTCATTATCCTGAAATGTTTCTGAGATCTGTTCTGCTAGTGTTGCAGGAAACATAGACAAAACAAGGCTAAATACAAATAATAAAATGCAACAACGTGTGGTTTGTTCCAGCCACAAAGTGTTTCCTTTGGTGAATAATTGGGTGCCAAAAGTATGCAACCATTTAGAAACCAAAACACTTAATTTTTAAAGACAGGTCTGTGCCATTTTAATCATTTTGCATAGTGTTGGGCATATATTTTAGTATATTGTTTTGTTTGCTTTTATGACAATTTTGGTACTGTGTGTCACACTTCATATTTAGTGTAAAATTTGGGTCCTGAAGCAAAACCAGTTGAGAACCACTGACATGAATAATAGATGCTTAAAATTAAATTCCACCAAACTGTTTTGGAAAAATGATCTTAGCCTCATATTGCTCTGTTCCCAGGATAATGACCCTCTGTTCAGTCAATCCCCCTGGAGAAGTAAACTGACAGGAACTGATGGAGAGACACTGGGTGGCTTTCCTGTCAAGTTTCTTGTGCAAGTGGTAAGAATTGTCACTAATAATGTTGTCTATTTGCTTGAATTTCCACAGAATTTCAATATTTTGTTTTATTCTCCTGCTAGACACGCCTGTCCAAAATCCTCATGATTAAAAAAGAACACATTAAGCATTTGAAGGAGATGAACACAGAAGCTGAGAAGCTGGTAATTGTCTGACAGCTGATATGGCGTTGTTTTTGTATACGTTAACTTAGTAGTACGCCATGTAACTTCTTCCATTATTCCTCTGCAGAAGTCCTATTCCATGCCGATCGGATTGGACTTGCAGAAGAGATACGCCACAACAGTACTGGACCTGGAACAGCTTAATAAAGACCTCAACAAAGTCCTTCATGAAGTAAAGCAGTTTTGCTATGAGGTACGTATGTTTCTTTTACTCACCCCACCACATGACCAAACTTGCTTTCCAGACCTTCAGTTCTGGTTTTCTTCACAAAATCCTGGACATAAAACATGTATTTTAGACCACCTTCACACATTTTCCTTTCACTTTCCATGATCTTCTCTGTTCAGCTGGCTCCAGATCAGGGCATGCAGCCTGCAGATCAGCCCAGTGAGTTGCGACGGCGCTGTGAAGAAGAGTCACAGGAAGTTGTGCGTCAGAGTAATGCATTGCCTGATGGGGAGCAACGTGTCCAGAGCCCCAGCCTCACCCAACTCGTCTCTCGTCTTACGGCACTCCTCCTGCAGATCAGGGTACCAGACTAAACCGTTTACCTCTGCATGTTGTTTAAAACAGAACATTTTTACATTATCTGAAGGAGGCATGCCTTATCACTGTGGTAGTTTATTTCCACCACAGAATTAAAAATTCAAAAACATAATTGTGACTTTTATGCATCTTTTTTTCCCCTGCATTTACATCTCACAATTATTTCCTTTTTTTTTTTTTTTTTTTTAATTCTGACTTTTCATCTCACATTTTTTCCTTCACTTCCCCAGAATTCTGAGCTTACATCTCGTAATTCTGACTTTTCTTTTGCAACAAAATACAAAAGGTAATTGTGGCTTTTTATCTCACAATTCTGACTGTTATTGTAATTCTGAGACAAATGTCCAAATTGTGAAATATGTTGCCATTACCTTTTTTCTTTCTTTTTTTCTGTGGCGGAAATAAGCTTCCATACTAAAAAGCATGTACATAGAGCACAGACCAGGAACTTGTGAGCCAAGACTACCATGATGAAGCATGATGAATACTAATAAATTAAAAGCTCAGTTGCTCAACTAAGTTTTTCATTCAGCTGTCAAGCTCTTTCAAGTGCCACAATGTCACATGAAAATGTACTTCACATTGAATCCTAATCATATTTCTTTAACTATTTAATGCAGTGTTTGGCCGAAGGGGGAGACTTGAATTCATTTGAATTCAAATCACTCACAGACTCTCTGAATGACATAAAGAGTTCAATAGATGACTCCAACCTGAGGTAAAACATATTTTTTCATTTGTTGTTTTTGCTCCATTTATCTTAGATTGTTTGTTTTTATTTTTGCCGTTTTGAAAGTTCTAGTCATACAGTGCTTGATACCATCGTAAAAAAAACTCAAGGAATTAATCACCTACAATGATCTGTCATCTACAGTTGTTTTCAGGATAATGTGGAGATCCATGTAGCACACATACAGGTTGTTTTTGCTCCATTTATCTTAGATTGTTTGTTTTTATTTTTGCCGTTTTGAAAGTTCTAGTCATACAGTGCTTGATACCATCGTAAAAAAACTCAAGGAATTAATCTCCTACAATGATCTGTCATCTACAGTTGTTTTCAGGATAATGTGGAGATCCATGTAGCACACATACAGAGCGGGCTGAGCCAGCTGGGTAACCTCCATGCTTTCTCTGCCAACAACACCAACAGAACGTGACTGAAATAAACTTGCACACCTCCCAATCTCAAATACAGACAGCGACGCACCTCTTCAGCTCATCACTTTGTTCTTTTGTGTTCATTCTGTTTGACATTTATGAAAGGTCAGAATGTATGTTCAGTAACTGTACCTGCACAAGCAGTGTTAAAATTCTCTGCCTGACTAGTCTGAAGATGTTCAACTAGCTAGCAAAAAAAGTGGAGTGTGAAGCTGTTTTGTAGATGTAACTGTTTGATGTCATTTCAGCTGTTGCTCACGTTCAATTTGATATTTAAGTTTGCCCTTATTTTTATTATTGGTGGTTTCCAACTAGGGTGTATTTCGAATGACACTCCTGATTGGTGCAGTTTGTTGGACTGAAACTATTTTGTATAATTTTATTTCCTCTATTTCTCGAAGTGTATAACTTTGAATGTCCTGAGAGATGAGGTACTGTTCTGTCTGTTTTAAACTGTTCTGTATGTTTTAAATATGTACATTGTAGATAACTGTACAGTTCACTCAAAATATATCAATAAATCGATCATATATAGGGTAATGTGGACATTTTTTGACTTGCCAGATTTAGGTATTTTTGCAAAGCAACCAATCGGTTTATACAAGTCCTGTAATAGACAGCTGTGTGGAATGAAACAGTTTGTCTTGTCCTTAGAAGAAGAAATAATCACCCAAATGCCCTACTGGTGTATGTTTTAAATGCGTTCGTTTTCTGTGGGGTTGTTTTTTTTAACCTGTAAGTGTATGCATGAGAGACGTTTGTAAATAAATTGATTTCTATTATCTTCATAAAGGCTCAGAGTCTGTATTTCGAGGTTTTATAAAACGTTTATGAATGCAGAATGTCTTTACATCCATATTGTGTCAATCACACATAACATACAATAATATCTGAAATATACAATAAATATCTGATTTTCAAAGCTTAAATGTTCTTCAAAGCTTCAGATAAAGTCTGTGAGTGATCAATTGAAAACGCTAAATAAACCCATTAAAACCAGACATGGCTTCTCTTTCCCAATCCGAATCGGAATCTGAGAACTCGGCGGCTTCGCTTGCTCTAATGGGAGAGAAAGTTTCAAAACTTCCCGGCTGGACCTTTACTGGCATGCTTTGGATAGAACAGGTGACATGTTTGGGGGATGATGAAGACATCATGAAGTTATTCTGTGATGGCAGAGGTGGAATAACAACCTTCATCTCTGGCCCAATGGTCTTGTTCGGAGGGAAGTTATCATACTCCACCAAAAACTGCTTCATTGTAGACTTAGCATGGCTGGTGCTCATAAACTGTCCGTGTCCCTTCGGATACTGCTGTGTGTAATTGCGTGGCACCACGACACTCAGGTGATCCGTCTTGATCTGGTTCTCCTCTGTTCTGCTAAACATGCATGGAATCGTGGTTGGGTTGTACATGCCCCCTTCCATGGTGCAGAGCTTCTCATCTGAGGAGTTGATCAGCTGTTGACTGAAGTTGTCCCTCGTGGCAAACTTTGGCAGTCTTTGTGTCTCCAGGCCAGTGTGGTTCTGATGTATCGTAAACTGGTTCATAAGGAGACTGTTGGTGGTCGGAACATTTACACTGGTCTTATTTGGAACAGGAATTCCCACCTGGCGCCGAGACTTGGCTCTTCGGTTCTGGAACCAGACCTGAATAGAAAATTGACATTGGTTTAGAAAGCTGATGCCATTAATAAACAAAACCACACTGGCATACATTCAGACAACGCCAGCAGTAGGGAAAACCGGGGCTATAGTCACTTTTACTAAAAAGAAATTTCATAAATGTCAATTTAGGGGAAGTTGTAATACAGTAGGCCAGAGTAATACAGAGTGATAAATGCTTCTGTACTGTTATGCTATTACAAAGGTAGCCTACTTTTTTTTTTTTTAACTAGCCCGGTAGTCATCTTTAATATTAAGCAGGTCTTTTTCTGAGGAACATTTCTGACAGAAATCTCACCTGAATTCTCGACTCTGGCAAGCCGGTCAGTGCCTCAAGTTTCTCTCTTAAATAAATATCAGGGTATTTGGTGTCCAAGTAGACTTTCTCCAGGACGTCAATCTGCTGCTGCGTGAAGTTGGTGCGTTTTCTGCGGTGCGTAAACAAGCTCGCGCTGTCCGCTCTGGAGGCGCCATTGAGGAACCTCATCCGGTCTTGAGCTGCGTAATCTGAGGAGAAAATGAGTAAAATGATTGAAGTTAGACATATTGATTACTTAGTTACTCCCAAATGCATTTCAAGAAAGATTCCTGCGTAAACACCCACCTGTTGTGTGTATGTTAGTCCTCCTTTCCAAATCCGCGGTAGGAAACAGCTGGAATTGTTTTAAGGGTCCATTCCCAAGGTTTCCATGCACGACTGCCATTGTGACCTAGTCCTACTGTACTGGTGTTCAGCTCGGAATGATTCGACTTACCTTCGAATGGCATTATATATCCAGTGGGCCAGCCTTCCGTCAGAGCTGATCAAAGTGAACTGATAGGACGCAGGTGTGAATGTTTGACATTCGTGGCACATTTGCATCTGTAAACGGTTCGTGTGTGAGTTTAATGGGATCTCCACCCGAATACACATGACTTGAAAAAACATGTAGGCCTACGTGTATTGTTGGATTGAGATGTTTTCCTGATCAGCTCCTCGGATCAGTTTGCAGCCTTGCACTTGTAGTGGAAATTGCCACTGATGTAAAATGGTTAATATATATATATATATATATATATATATATATATATATATATATATATATATATATATATATATATATCTCAGTGTTGGGGAAAGTTACTTTTAAAAGTAATTACAATATTGCGTTACTCCCTAAAAAAGTAACTAATTGCGGTCGTTACTTTTTATGGAAAGTAATGTGTTACGTTACTTTCGCGTTACTTTCGCGTTACTTTTTAAATATGAGGAGGGCTTGATTGTTTTTAATATTAGAAGTTCTAGTTATAGCAAATATAAAAGCCCTTTCACACCAAAAAGTGTAATGAATGAACCTCAGGCTGAAGCAAAAGTGAATTCAGGTCTGTACAGTAGAACGCAGGAGAAGAAACACTCTTCTGCAATTAAAAAAACAATGAAGCACAATTGTTAGTTTCTCTAAAGTCATTTTTGCTTATTAGTATGGTTGAACTGGATCATCAAAGGTCAGCAGCAAAGACATCAGTTAATAAAATGGGATTAGATACATTTGTGTTATTTAACATATTAAATTATTTCAGGTTTGCGTCCTATTCTGAGTTTGCGTTTCAGTGTTTTAATTCATTTTGATGAATACTAAATCAGTTTTTTGTGAGTGGGACGAATTAATGCACATTCACATTTAGTCTACAAAAGGGGTGCCCAAACTCGGTCCGGTGTCCTGCAGAGTTTAGCTCCAACTTGCCTCAACACACCTGCCTTTAAGTTTCTAGCATGCCTAGTAAGAGCTTGATTAGCTGCTTCAGGTGTGTTTAATTGGGGTTGGAGCTAAACTCTTCAGGACACCGGCCCTCCAGGACCGAGTTTGGGCACCCCTGGTATAGAACTACAGTAACATCATGTTCACACAGCGCACACAACTCCTCTGTACTCCCGATTTCTCCCAATATGGGGACAGGAGACTTGTCAGTCAATACATGGGAAAACAAAGTAACTGGCATTACTTTTGTGAAAAAGTAACTCAGATATTTTCTTGTAAATTAAAAAAAGTAATGCGTTACTTTACTAGTTACTTGACAAAAGTAATCTGATTACGTAACTCGCGTTACTTGTAATGAGTTACCCCCATCACTGGTACTGTACACTATTCCAGCATGCCAGAATCTCAAAGACTGATGGTTAATCAAAGACAAGAATCTTGTCTAATATTTCACCGCGGCTTGACCATTGTAAACCAGCCGTGGG